TTCCAGTAGCCAGCCTCAACAATTCCTCGATTCCTTGCCATCTAATCTGGGAGTGTGAGCATTCTGCATGCCCCTGCTTCCTGGGATCCTTACTGGGCTAATTAATGGCTTCCAGCAGTCCTCCTGCCTGCAGCTTTCTAGACCTCATCACCCCGACTGCACCTACCCAAAGAACCAAAGCAGAACAACATTCAGCATATCAGCATGTCAAACGCACCTCCTGTACAGCGTATCAGCAATACAGGTGATTCAGAAATAATTCAACAGTACTTCAATCTGTGAACAAACACCCAGCAATCTAAAGCTGGAGCTCTGCTAAACAGACACGGTGAATTCTGCATCCATCACAGTTCTCCCCCGTGCACTCCAAGCTCTCCAGCTCCCATCACCACACTACAAATTCCAACAACAGCAGAGTATTGACAGTGAGATGAAGATGAGCGCGCTCCAGGTAACAGTGCTTTTACAGAGAAAAACAGACTTGGAGGATGACTTTGTTACCAAACAGCAGCAACACAAAGAGGGCATTTTTAAGGCAGCATCGCTCTCCCCTGCAAATGACCACATTCTCAGATTTTCCATAGCAGATTACAGGATTTTGGAACTGTGAAGCTGAGATGTTATGCAAATTCCTAGAGGATAATCTATGTACTAGCACAGATCAAGCTTTATGAGAGCTGGAGATGCACCATAAAAAGTGAGGCGTGACTAAATTCAGTAAGCTAATAGCATAAACCATTCCTGCAGTTACATTAGGGAGTATGTTTGCATTAGAGCCTTGTGTTAATACCCACTGTACAGTCAACTATCAAAGCGTGATTAAAGCAAATAATTAATGTAGAGCTCTTGTCCAAATGCCATTTGCAGCAAGATTTCCCACTCACTGTCATTACTAACCCCCCAGTCACATATAACAACAAAAATATATTGATGATATTTCTGCTGGCTTTCGCTACCAGACAAGTGCAGTATAAAACAACTGTGTGCAAAGTCATACATTGATAATAAGAAAGTTCAGTTTACTGTAGATTTGTAACTCAGGGGTGCACAAGTATTACATAAGAAGGGACTCCAAACAAAACATTTGCCTCTTGCTGGACTATTTTGCTCTTCTTTCTCCAATTCTATTTTCTGGTGTCTACTGCAAGCTTCTGTAAGGAAGAGGCCATGGAAAGCCCTCAGTTCTTCTAAGATCTTTCATTAAGATTCCATGTTTTTCTTCCAAGACTGGCTCCTTGGTCCAATTTTATAGGCTTCTTACCCTCCATGCCTGAGTCTCCTTCTCAGCCTCTTTCCATCAACTCCACCAAATCCACCCGTCCTGCTGAACTCAGGGCTTCCAGTACCCACCCCTACACCCATGGCACTAATGGGCACAGCCAACACAGGTTATACTCGAGGACTGGCAAGATGGAACTAAGAGGGTCACAAAGCACTGAAATTCACCATCTTTCCACATTTTTGGGGAGAGGAAAAAAAAAAAAAAAAATCAGAAATTTTGATTCTTCTGTCAAATTTAAATCTATCCGCAAGATTCAAACAGCACACATGGGACAACACATTACAAAATCTAAACATACTTTGACTGATGTCAAGGAACTGCACTGACCAAAACCAAGTAATTTCTACACTTCACCATCATTCAAATAAACTACAAAAAGCCTTTAATAGAAGAGAGTGTAAAAAAGACTACAAAAATCAGAGCCTCAATAGCTTCACACTGATAAATTCATTCACAAAAATTTTGAAGAATCTCATATACTGCTTCAGATGTTTTGTTTCACGAGATGAGCAGCTGCAGCAATTATAACAAAAGTGCCATTAACAAACGAGTCACACAGTTGACACACGGACCTGGACACCAAACCATGAATGATGAGATCACTGCAGCAATGAAAACTGAAAAAAAAAAACTCTAAAGGATGACACAAGGCAACATTGCCCACCCGATTCACATATATTCACTGCATTTGACACAGCAATGAGGTGGTTTTGAATGTCAGCCAAAGGAAAGAAAAAAAAAAGATACAATTCAACTCCCTACTCTGCTGGAGCTACGTGACTTTGCAACACAGGAAATAATTGGTTTAACAAACATTTGAAAATAAAAGTTTCTGGTTTTACTGCGTACATTACAAAGATTCACTTTTTAAATATGTGCAGTAGCAAAAGAGTTCAAAGTATCAAAACCACAAATCTATGCAAGTGTACCATACCGCCTTCTTATTTTCTTACATTAAGAGATTTTCTTGACTAAGTGCCTCTCAGAGGACCACTGATTTTAGGCTACTGAATAAAAACACCTTCTCTCTATTCACAAGATAAAAACGTCCCCAATTCCAATTATACATTTGTTTTAAGGATTCACAGCTATAACATTTTCTACTCAACATCTGTGATGTGCTAACACCATAAGCCATACTTCTAAAGCGAGTCATCTCCTGAGCTTATAGATCATTCACCCCACTTGTTTAAAGCCTGTCCTTCGAAGTAATCTGAGGACGGTGAGCCAGGAGTAATCCTTTATCTCCTGTAAAAAATGCTTTGCAACATCTATACCGACACCTTTTAAATGAGTGTGGAGAAGTACTGAAAATATAAATAGAGCTCTCTGCTGAGACAAGGAAAGTCAGAGCTCTCCTGCTGGGCTGGATGACAGTTTGCACAGAGCTAAGAAGCAGGCTGGAGAGCGCAGGCCGCTAGTCAACCTGAGAGCCAGGCCATCTGCCAGCAGTCCATCAAGATGAGGAACGCCAACTGCATTTTGAGCCCTTAGCTAGATTCTGTATTTCATTACGGTGCATACGCACTGCTATACCCAAACAGCTATTGCTGTGCTTCCCTCCACACAAAGGCCACATGTGGATCAACAGGAAAAGGTCTTCTCCAGGCAGTAGCCTAAACCACTTATTTATCAAATTTGCACCTTGTTACTCGAATTATTTCATCCTTCTACAGCTCTTTTCTGTCATCTGATGCATCTTTCTCTCTTCTATTTCCTCATCTTCCAAATTCTCACTAGCAACAGAGTTCATTTACTCCCCTCCAACTAAGGCAAGCAGCAATAGGATATTTAACTCCAACATTAAGATCAGTAGAATAGCAAGCATCAAAACAACCCTCGTTCAAGGCTCCTGAAAACTGAAGCACTCACTCCTACATCTGCAACTCTGCAGCTGGGATACTTTCAAATATTGCCTTACACATTCAAAACTGTAATACTAGTCAGATTCATGTCTCAGACCATACATACTGCTAATGACCTGATGCATGCACAGCACAGGAGCTACAGAAATGGTCATTCAGTGCAACCATTCAAAACTCAAAGGCTCTAGACTGTCTGCAGACAGCCCACAACGCGTACCTGGAAGCAGACAACCCACAATATGCACCACCCCGTAACAGACAGCACTCTAAAACATCCCAAGTAAGACTCCACTGGAGAAAATCTAGAGCTTTTAGGACTCTGCTTGGGATATCCATCTATCTATCCTCCGGGACAAGAAAAAAACATTCTCATACCATCCTCTACCTTGAAAATGAGCTGTGTGCACTGCTCGATGTTTTCCCTAAAAGAAGCTAAGAAAGAAAAAATAACGGTGCTAAGAAAGAAATTTATGTACTAGCTTATAAGTGGGTGCACTTCTTGGCTGCTCTCAGGAGAACTGTCAAAATCTACAGCAAAATCTAACACGGACATCCGCTTCACAACTGAGCTCTCATCACATCTCTACAACGAATACCACTTCTGCTACATCATGAGATTTCCTCAAACCTGAAATATTGTATGTTGTGCACCAAGGCAACAGGGAGACCAAACTCACTTCCGTAATATTTGCATATTATTTTGACTGCCTGTATTTCCAAGCATCGATCACAGTTCAGCTGTTTTCATACACAAAAAATGCTAATCCTGCTGAATTTTTACCGTACCTCCTCTATCATCTGTTATAGATACGTACTGACTTTAAATAAAAAATCCAGATTTATTTTTTGCATCAACTAGTTAACACATTCTGTGTTTTTGTGTTTTACAATGGTTGCCAACTTTGCATGCTTAACCAAGAGGAGCTTTGCAGCGTTATTATAAGTAGTGACATTCACTCAGGTGGAAACGAAACAAGTGCTACCACTAATATACCAATGAATGTTACCAAAATCGTTTAGTAACTTTTACAAAAGCAGTCAGGGACCACCGATTTGAGATCGCAAGCCACATCACTGCAAACTGAGCAGGAGAGAGGATGCCAGCTACAGATCCACACCAGCTACAGGACCAAACCATCAGCAAGATGAACTGCATTGCAACGCAGCTCCCTGCGCCTGTGCCGAGTGACTCCATGCATTCGAGCCAGGCTGCAATTCCCTCCGAGGCGTAGCTGCAAGCAGAGCTTGGCAGACAGAACTCGAAGCGCACCGCCGAGCCGCCAGCATCAGCACGCTGAGGCCACGCGAGCCGGCAGCTCGGGGCGCACGTAGCAGCCTCGGACTGGCGCAGCCCGCACCGGCGCGGATGCCCGCGGCTGACAGAGACGGGCAGGACACCGCGCGTCTCTCCTCCGGGCCCCGCGCGCCGTTCCTGCGCGGAGCCGGCAGCACGGCGGAAGGGGGCTGCGCCCGGCGCCGCCCGAGCCCCGAAGCCCGGAAGGGCCGCGGGACGCCGCCCGGGCGGACGCCGCGACGGGAGCGGCCTCGCTCTCGCCGGCCGCCCACGGCCCACCGGGAGGCCCCGCTCGCTCCCCCTTCGCCCGCGCACGCCGCCGGCCCGAGGAGGGAGCGGCGGGGAAGGCCGGGCCCGGCCCGGCGCCCCGCTCTCATTCAACCCCGCGGCGGCCGGGCCCGGCGGCGGCCCCTCGGGATGAGGGAGGCCTGGGAGCGGCCCTGCCCCGCGCGGCTCCGCTCCCGCGCACCGGAAGCGGCGCCGGGCCCGGCCCCGTCCGCCGCGAGAACCGCGCCCGGGCCGGTGTCCCCGGTTCCCGCGGGGCGCGGCGCGTCGGTACCTTGATGATCCTGCGGGGCAGCCCGGCCATCTTGTCTCGTCGGGGTGCAGGCTCGCGGGCTCGCCTCCGCTCGGGGCTCGCGCACAGCCGGAAGTCGCCCGCTCCGCGCTTCCGGTGGCGCCGCCCTCGGCGCGGCACGTCGGGCAATGTAGGCCGCGCCCGCCCCTCCGGCCTCCGCGCTCCTCCCGCTGCTGGGCGGCGGCGCGCTGAGTTGCCGTCGTGCGCGCACGCCGCCTGCGGGGGCGAGGCCTGCCCCGAATGTCTGTGTGAGGCTTCAACGTGTCTGACGCACCGTGATGGCACGGTGTGTGTCGGCGAACAGTGAGTGAGACGTCTCAGGACATCTCACCTTTGGGCTGCTAAAGTCTCGTCGGTCATTTCTCTTCCTTCTTATCAGGAAGAGAAACGTTGTGGAAGATGAGCTCGTTTACGTGGATATCATTATCTCCACAGCATCCTCTGTGTTCGGAACCGTTGCTGAACAGATGGGAAATGGAAGCACGGAAAGATGAAGCAGTTTGCGAGAGCACTGCCAGGATCAAGACCCTGCACGAACAATTCCCCATCGATTCAGAAACAGGACTTTTAGGTCAGCTACACCATTTTTGTACACTAGTAGAATGGAAAGTTCTGACACTAGTAAATCTGGACTGTGTAATTGCTGACAGGCGCCTATCATAAATACTACAAGCTTGTTTTGTGTCCTAAAATATAAAAATTCATATCAACACATGGCGGCTACGATAACATGAGGCATGTCAGCAGTGGTGTGTCTCCCTCCTTATAATCAAGGAAACAGAATATTCTGAGTCAGAAGGGACCCACAAGGATCATCAACTGCTGGCTCCACACAAGACCACCCAAAATTCAAGTCCTGTGTCTGAAAATAAAGTCCAAATGTTCTCATGCCAGTGCCCACCACACTCTTGAAAAACTTCCTAACGCCCAACTGGCCCCTCTCCTGACACAGCTCCATGCCGTTCCCTCGGGCCCTGTCACTGTTCCCACAGAGCAGAGCTCAGCGCTGCCCCTCCGCTCCCTGTGAAGAGCTGCAGCCGCCATCAGGCCTCCCCCAGCTTCCCCACAGTACTTCCCAAAAACTTACCAAATTTTCCTTCTCCATCTTTTGAGAAGGCTACTAAAAGGCATATAGTGGTTCTACACTACTCGATCTGCTTAGCTGTCGAATATATCAGCAATTCCAAACTTTTCATATGAATTCATGAAAAACACCACCTCTGTGCATTCTTGTATACATGTTTGGCCCTTTAAGCACTAAATTGTTTTCCTAGTGTTATGGATGCAACTTTCTGTGGAAGTTGATTAAATCAAAGTATTGACATGTGGCAAGAAAAATGCATCAAACTGCACTTGCAGAATTGGATCATAAAGGGTTCATCAATAACATTCCCTCATTTTGCCTCGGTGAAGGGTGAGTTCATTAGCATTCACTACTGAGCTTGTGAAATGGCTGTGCTTAGATGTGGTCCTTCAGCAAAATCTGGTCATACTAGTTAGACCTACATCTATTCTGTAATCATGGATTTTCCTTTTTACTTCATTGTTACAGCTTGTTAATGCTAAATGGGACCAACTATATGCTTTTCTATACACAGTACCTTAATGATTGTTATTGGTTTTGGTTTTTGTTTGTGTGTTTGGTTTTTTTTTTTGTCACTTGGGGGAACAATGGGTTTGGTGTAAATGAATTAACACAATTTAGTGGTGACTGCTATGTACAGCTGATCTGTATATAACTAAATGCTTACCACTGAGCAGCATAGAATCATAGAACCACTAAGATTGAAAAAGACAACTAAGATCATCTAGTCCAACTATCAATCCATCTTCATCATGCCCACTAACCCACGTCACTCAGTATGACATCTACCCTCTTCTTGAAAACCTCCAGAAAATTGCTTTTGATGAGTGGGATTAAGCAAACTTTGCTTAGGGAGTCAGGAGAGAAAACCAAGGACAGGTTAGTGAAAAGAGAGCATTAGTATTCATATAATCTTGCAGCTCCATGAATGACTGCACATATTTGTAATCATGTTGCTATGACACCCAGTAATAACTAGGAGTCTTCATTTTGAATTAGCAGGTATGCAGAATGCATAGGTTTTTGTTATTTTTAACCTTCTTCTTTCCATGCTGTGTAAACTTCACATAATATGATGGATAGCTAAGGGAACAAATGGTTCCATACCACTCTTCTGTCCTATGCCAGTAACCCCTGTAAGTATTTGCCAGCATCAAACAAGTGTCAAGATGTAGCAGGAGAGGTTAAAGATGTCAATTCCTTGTGAATTTTAACCAAAACAAATAAACAAACAAACAAAAACAGCAAAAACAAGCAAACAAACAAACAAAAACCAGATGAAAGATAGAGAAGTGTTGGTAGTCCCACTGAGAGGAAGACTCCATGACTTCAGTACTAACTAGCATCAAAGAATCATCTTCAGTGGGCCCTATCTTCTAAGTAATTAGAACCAAATTCTTCTTTTTTACACTGTTTACTTCTTTTTCCTTGTTTCTGCCTTCTCCTTTGTTTATTTACCCTTCTTCTGAAATCCTGACCATTGAAGGACTGATCCAAGTGAAGGAAAATATGAGCCAAAAGATGTTGTAGGCTCAGTGTGATTAAAAGGCCACAATTTCTTGAAAGCACTGGAACTTGTGCTCTGTGAACCTTGCCCCATATGTGCTAGATGCACTACAGCAGAGCGTGATTGACTCAGTGTTGATGAATGTTGTGTTTAGTGTTCTTGTAAGTGTTGTAGAGAAAGTCCCTCTTCTGTCTGGGGTTGCAGCAAGGCAGTATGGCAAGCTGTTATATTGTAATCATTTTCATTGCTCAGCAAGTGGCTTGCTACATCCTGGGAAAACTGCAGTTTTCACAATGTCTCCCTTTCTGGCTTGTTTTGGGAAGAGGCTTTTGTAGTCCACTTGCTCCACAAGAGGCAGTGAACAAAAACATTGTTTTCTGTTCTCAATGTACAAAGATTTGGGTCACTCCTCTAAATTGTGCTACCTCTTAGAAGGACTACTGCTAAGATCCCTAAGCATCCATATGAGTGCTGAGAAAGCCATTCATGCTGGCTACTCTAGGATCTTGGCTTTATAGTTTGCTTCTTTGAACTGCATCTGTAATAGGGATATCTTCCAGTAGAAGCTATAGTGAAAAATGTTCTTTTATGCATTCTAAAATTCCCAAAGAATGCAACTTAATCCTCTGAATCAGATCTGGAACAAGACAATCAAGTGCCAAAGGAGCTTTGTCTTCTCAGCTAGCCCCACCCTATGGGGATTCTGGCAATTTCTGAGTGCTGTCCCACCCCTAATGACCTTCCAGCATCCACTCTGGAAGGAAAATACTTTAGGATTTCCCACTCTGCCATTATTGCCACTGTAACTGTGTTCTAGACTACAGCCTACATAGCAATATGTGCTCACCCTCACTTTGGTGTATCTCTTGTAAGTCTTTCTTGGAAAAGAGCCATTGGTGATCCAGCCCAGTATGGCCCTGCTTTCCACTTCCATTGGTCAAATAGTTCTTCAGAACTCCTACTCCTAGTTCAAGGTTGCCACTAAAATGTGTTTATTTTTCTTATTCTTATTCACTTCTTATCTTGAGCAATATGGCTCAGAGATTCCTTTTTCAAAGTACTATATAGCAATACCATTAAAACCACCTGGGGAAATGTACAAGTTTCTGAAGGGCATGCGAGGGGGAGCAGGGAGAAGAAACTAAGAGAAGGAAAAGTAGACCTGGAAAACTAGATTTCCACAACACTACACATGTAATTTGTCAGAAACCTGCAAAGTGTTTCAGTAATCCTTTTTTCTTTTTTTCCTTTTTTGTTAAATCAAAGTTTGTTCAGGGGAAAACAAAAGTTCTGCTTTCACCCCAAATAGTATAATTAATGAAGTCATGCATCTTCATTTAGACAGCTGCCTTCCCTGTCTCAGCCTGGCATTTTTCTTTTGGTAGATTGAAAGATAAAGAAGTTATGTGTTTGACAGCCATTTAGATTGATGCTTTCGTTTAAATTAGATTGAAACTTTTCATTAGAACCATTGCCTGAAGTTCTGTCTGATAATCTCTTAGCAATTGCTAACTGTTTGCTTTCCAAATATCCTTGAAATAAACCCCACATAGATAGAATGTGATGATTGTGCTGTCCTTAAACCAGTAGACTTTGGATAAATGGTATTTTCACTCCACAGCTTACTGTCAAGGCCCTGGTGCACAAATAAGCCTTAATTGTTGTGTTGGGCCTCAGCTGGGGCCTCCACCCTCATCCTCTAGGGACCTGGACACTGAGTCCCTTCCTGAGCTACACCCTAGCTTGCCGACCTGTCACCTGCACCTGAGCTGATGGTGGATTTCCTGGAGTGACCTCAGGCCAGGCCAGATGAACCCTGGATGACTAATTGGGCCTGCTGTGGTAACAACACTGCCCTGCTCACCTGCTTTGAGAGCAGAAGGACTGCATCCCACTTGTGGGATCACACTGGAGTGCCCTCAGTTCCCCGTTCACCTACCCGCAGGGAGCAGTGCTGCTTCTGCTGCTCCCTGCTACCTAGCTGCTGAATTCAGGCTGCCTGAAGCTGCAGGTTCATTTTGGAAAAACAGTCTTGCCTAGCTACTGTTGCTGTTGATCAGCTTTTATAAAGCTGATCATATCAGATCTACAAACACAGGCATTTCAAAGCAAATTCAAATGCAGTGTTTGTTAAGACTGTTGTCATCTGTAGTCCCCATTCAAGTCCTACACCACAACTCTACCAAGGCCTGCCTTAACAGTGGTTATTTAGGGTGTTATTTCCTGTCAGAGTTAGACCACTTTGCATTTGCATTGCTGATGAGAAGAATCTTGCCCTCCTTCCTCTGCCACAAGCTGCTGCTCCCTCAACTCACTGATCTCACAGAGGGCTTACGGATAGTTCCTGGGTGATCAGTGGGCTTACATGACTTGCAGTCATGCATCTGTGTAGATCTGGCACAAGAAAGGGGGCAGGAACACCTGAGGGTGTGAGAAGGTAACAGCCTGTAGTTGGCTGAATTGGGTGAAACTGTGCTGTGGGGTCAAATTACATCACAGAGCTGACTCAGCTTGTCAAAAGTAGATCTTATTTCCTCTTCCCACCTCACTCCTTCTACCCTTTCTCGTCCACAGCTTTTCCCCTGCAGTTCACTTCTATGACCTGCCAGATTCTACTGTCTTCTACAGATTCTGTTTGCTAATTTGGCAGAAACACAGCTATGTATTCCAGCTTTCTATTGGAAAGGTGAACTGATTTGGCTTACAGTAGGATCTAGCACACACCAGAGACAAAACCAAAGGTACATAACAGGAATAAGAGTGAAGTTTTCACTTTTAGTGTTCATTATTGTTCAAACCAATTGTGGATGTCTCTTACCATTTTTGAGAAGCTGCAGGCAACACCGAACTCCTCCTCCTTTTTCCTGCATTCTGCCATCTATTTCTGAACCCCCCCCTCTCTTTCTATAGGTGTTTATCTGCTTAGGGAATGGGAGGAGCAAGGGGTTTTTCTTGGTTTGGTTACCCTTCTGACCAGCTCACTGGGAAATCTAAGCTGGCACAAAAGAAACAATAGTAAACAGAGTAAGA